AGATATGAATTTTGAAATCTCGCCGGAAATCCTCGCAAACACGCCTTATCCTAGGAATACCCTTTTCTATGGGAGATTTGGACGTGACAAACATAAACATGTGCAGAAACCATCCGTTTTCAATCCTCATAAGCTCTCATGAAGGTTCGAAACATGCATAGGCTTTCATACAATCCTCAATCTTATCCCAATTTACAAGTATAATCTCAATGATGTGCAAGTACCGACAAGACTTTTGTTCCAAGTACCCAACATATGTGATGAGACGCGAAGTTTTATTTCGTAACCAATGGACAGAAACTATTTTTTTTCATCACAAAGTTTGCAATCCTCGTGTTTGTGCGCCGAGTTTGCAGGCCAATGCGTGGCATTTTGCCTATTCACTTCTATTCTTTGCCCCAGGAGGCAGTACTAGAAGTTTTCCCACTACCTTCAAATTGGATGCATTGAATGCGGATACTCACAAGCATTGATAGATTTCGTGTCTGTATGGTCCGCATTCACGTAGTCTATGGAGGTGTAAGGGCCAAGCACATTTTTCGAAACTGGGTTTCTAAAACGTGTACAATACTGAACATACTTCAATGCATCCAACTGCGTTGTGGTTCAATATGATAAGTGAAAGGCAGTCCAGTCACCACTAGATTCTACAATTGTGCTGACCTCTTATTTTAACCTTTAAGAGTCATAAAAAATATTTTCAGGAGTTTACCCAGTGTGTGGGTTGCGCCATCATCACAACTCAATGGGTTTCCTGAATGCTGTCAGATCTCACTTTCGAATTCAGCAACACTCTGTATGAAGAACTTCATGGCCAATCATACCGAACACAAATCTATCAATACTAATGTCAATACAGGGGGGGTCGCTCAATAGTGCCTACTTTAGTAGTGCTTCCCTCTATATAGTGCTATGGCTCACCGTCTGGCACAGGTTATCATACGCTCACACGTGTATCATCCGGCATGGTTCAGTACTCAAAGGATGAAGTTATTTAGTTATGTTATACAGGCTTTGTTGTGTTTGTGTTAGCAGTGTGCTTTGTCCCCAGAAATATGTATTTGAGCCTCCTTTCTATAGTGCCATCCCCCCAATAGTGCCATAGCTAAAGGTATGTCACGCTATAGCACTATATCGTAGGAGGCACTGTATGCGAATCCGAACAGTGAATTGTATGTTTCTATCAATTTTTTGCCCCAGCTTTTTTTTGACTTGCCTTGAGTTGTTCACAATAAATGTCGGCAATCCAAGGGGCAGTTCGGAACGAACCCGTTATGCAAGCCTCAACTGACTACAGGATGAAGTAGAGTTCAAATCGATACTATGTGTAGAAGTCTCGCACGACAAACTCTATACCAAGGCTGCTAAATACTAGCTGTCCGTAATGTGCAGAAGGGGGAGGCGCAGTTCTGTTTTGTAAGAAACGGCTAAAACCGCCACCAAATTCAGTCTTACAGTGAAGTGGGGAATGGGAAAATGGGGTTGCCCTATTTTCGAGAACATTTCTACTACTTGGAGTGCACGAAGGGATTTCTCTCTTTCTTTCGTTATTCCAGTGTTACATTTATAAAAATGCATTACCGTTGTGATCTCCAGACAAGTTCTCCACGTTTTTGATCTTGCACGGCCTATCTTTCTCAGCCATACCACGAAAATTTCAATTATATTACTACTCATTTACATGCATCCCTGTCGCTTGATCATGCAACTATTTGTTATATATGCTCGGGAACGAATACGTTGGACACGGAAATCCTCGACGACGAGGATCATGAGACGTTGTTTTTCATATCCATGCGCAGAACTTATTTCGGAGAGGTAGGTGAGACAAAATCTCTGAAGTCCAGATATTTAGATATAGATAGAAAAAGGACCTTATTTAAGATCCTGAAAGAAGCTCCCCGCCTCCGCTATGTGCGGGACATCCTTCGTTGTTATTCACTCAACTCTAAAAGGCACTATTAGATGTGAAGTTTGTCTGTAGGGAACGGTTTCAGTCAAGTCTCATACCGGACATGGATATGTTTTGCAAGAGTCTGAAGCCGTTCCTTTTCTGTAAGTACCCTTCAAGATTAGTTGAAGGAGTACAGTTCTGCACGGTAGAGTGGTCCCGTCTTACTTTTCCCTGCTTGTGGAGGGTTTTGAATGAAGGAGGTACTAGCTTCTCTTCTACTGAGAGAGTGGTGTATGTGTAAGTCCAGGAGCCCGACACCTAACATGAAAATATCTAAGATCCGAAATAGCACTACGGGGGCTTTCAGAAATAATTACGTATTAATTATGAGCTGTGGCGATCGAGGGCAGAAGTGAATCTATTCCTCAGGTGAGATCTGCCTCAAGGAAGACAGGATAACACTAGGAATCGCTCTAATGCACAATTTTCATGTAAGCGATAGTGCCAAGACGGACAAAGTCAACGTACGCAAGAAAGAATTTGTCCCAATTAATCTTTGTCCAAAACTAATGGAATGCCACCTCCAACGTGGTTCCTCTCGCTGATATTTGCGGCATCAGTTGATGCACAAGTGGCCTCTTCTAATTAGTGTACATGCGTCGTTTTCTCAATGACAGAGGACAAGCAATGCAACGTTGAGAATTTGAAAGTCAACAGGCAGGCGCTGTAAATGCATTTCAGTTATCTATGGCCCAACAACAGTTGCACTTCCACCGCCTCACCCCGCTCCCACCCCTCATACAGTAAGTAGCTCGACACGCCCTGAAACTCTCCACTCAAGTATTCCCACAACTCAATGCGTCATACTGACTAATCTGGGAGGGAAAACTAGCCTGGATCTATAATAGCACATCTCGAACTCGAGTAGGATTGGGCTTGGACGGCAAGTTGCGGAAACGCAGAATTTGGCCATGCGAACCAAGCTCCGCCTGAGATATTTGTATATATATTCAGCAGTAGTATCCAATATCTGCGTGCAAAATGTCGGGACCCCTTAAACAACTCTTAACTATCTATAGCTCATGCGTCCAAAAACATTTTCCAGTCCCATCACGCGATGGATTACCGACCCCATCATTTCTTCGCAATTCACATATACCTCAGCTGTTTGATGGTTTGGTTTGGTATCTGTTGTACTGTTTGAAGAAAAACATCCTTCCGCAAGTGCGATTAGACTCATTTGCACGTTCAGCAGATAAGGCATTGGTTCCTGAGTATGTGTTCCACGATCCATCCCTTATTTTTCAAAAGTCACAAGCAAATGCAGCTCTATCGCGAAGATGTCATGCACAACTCTTCGATGTGAGAGTCGTTCTCTTCTCCGTTCATTTCCATAAACACTTGAAAGCCGAGAGGAGTGGTCGAACAGTTGTCCTTTTTGTATTCCAATTTGAAGGAAGCAATGAAGCAGTATTCTGTCAGAACCATAGCGTGACTGAATGTGAATGGCAGAGCTTCTGGAAGGGCATCGAAATGTTGATCTCTTGTTCGAGTCACAAGATCTTCGAGATAGCTTCATGGCAAGGACAGTCCACTCTCCACCTCTGCTTGATATGGCCCTTTTATTGAAACATGACTTGAACACGAAACAATAAACCCTGGTGGTCGACTGCCTCTCTGGCAGCATATACGCTTCTGCGAGAACGAACCTCACGCTAGGTCGGATAGTCGTTGTCGTGGATCCAATGACAAAACGGAAAAAAGAAGGTGGACTCTCAAAATGTCTGACGAATATGGTCAGAATGTGCTTGCTCTCTCGCCGTCAGGTTTAGAATGTGGGATGAAGCGAGTGGGGGTACCGAAGGGCTCTTTAGCTTCCGAATGCAGTTGTTTCGCCAACCGGTCGACACTAAAGGAAACTTCCCCCTGGATCAGCTGACTGTAGAAAGTTGTGACAGGCACAGATTTGAGTCCAAGAGTGATGATTTATTTCGAGCCGCATCACTTAACTGCCAACTACTGAATTATCATGGTTCCGAAACCTCAAAGACTCTTTTCGAGTCATTGCACGATTCGCTATGCAATCAGTGGCATGATGAGAAACTGTTCGAGAATATGAAGGGCGCAAATGTTCAATATCCTCCCATACTGTGTAGAGAAATGATGGCCTGCCTGGCTGAGACCCGTGAGGTTAGCTTCGCAATAAGAGGGGTTAGGACGCTAGTCGGTGAACGGGAGCGTTCACCTGTGTGGCAAAAGTGAGGAGGGCACTTGCACCAAGCGGGGATTGCCCTTTTTTCTTTCCCCGATGCTGTTGCCTTTATGACGAAAAAACCTAAAACACAGATCCTAGCGCGCGCTACGAGTCTTTTTTCCCTGTGCCTGTTGCACTTACTGGCGGTGCTTTGGTTTTGCCCGATTTCGTCTAGGCGCATCCCAGGGCCGTCGGTGGGCAGATCGCGATCTGCCCAGTCCCTTGATGGGCCGCCTGAATCGAAATCGGCAACACTGCAAAACCCGATGGTGAAGACGCACTCGCGGTGCCCTTTTAAGTATCGTGCAAAGGAAGACCTTCATGCGCCGCGGATACTGTCTCGCGTCTTTCCGCGCGCGGATTACACTGTAGTATGCCAACCTTCGCGCTGGTTCGCTTCGGCGAGCATGGAAGATATTGGAATCGTTACAACTGCCAACAGTGCAAGCACCGCGTGTCCCATGCAAGAGACACAATCTCAGGCATGGTGGGCCCTCGAAGGTGCGGTAAATTCATCCGGGGATTCGTCTCAATCCTTGAAGACATGCAGTATATGTGGTCTCGTTCTGAGCTCATTGCACAAAAGGCGTAAAGCGCCGTGACTGCCGCTTTTTTTGAAATAGAAAGCGAACCGGTTACACTGCAAATGATTCCCAAGACCCCCAAGCCGATATTCAGATTGTGAATCAGGCGATAAATGTTAGCTGGCTCTGTGGTACGGCTGAAGTTGTGTGAAAGGAAAAGAAAAAAACTATCTTCGACATCTGCATATGAGAGAGTGAGAGAGTAAGAGGAGAAGTCTTTGGATCACTTTGTCGTTACGTTCGTGAGAAACAGCAATAAGGGCCCCTGTTACATCAAACGATTATTACTCGTACAATAGCATTTACAAAAAACTGCTTCATTCTACATAGACACTGTCCTGATTAACTCCGTGCTTAACGAGGGATTTCGAAATGATCCAACATCTACATTATCAAAGAAACCATATTTGTAAAAGCCCCAGAGATCATTGATGTAAACGGAGAGAACGGAAACGGTGCATAACAGACCACAAGCAGGGTAGGAGCTGTTCCTGCCGGCCGTGCCTACACACTTTCCTCCTCGGTGGCCTCGTCCCTTCGTTCTAGCTTTTCGTCTGCAGCACCCTGGCGCCCAACAATGCGCTCCTCAAGTACTCTCTCAGCGTTTTCCTTATCTGCCTCGTCAGCGTAGAAGCTCGCGGGTCCTACAAGGGACAGCAGAATCGGACAAAGAATCAACCCGTGAAGGAATCCCATAATGATCAGAAATAAGAATCCCTTGAAAATGACTTGAAAGATGTAAGACCTGGCACCCGACAGTACAATGATGGCTAGGAATGTTGAAAATCCGGCGTAGAACACTGGAGGACCCATTGTCTCCAAAGCCTTGATAGTTCTCTCAGTTCGTGTGCCTACTTGTTCCAAGAATGAACGAGCGATGTGAACAACGAAATCGACACCGATACCGGTGCAAAGCACAAGAGTGATGACACTTACAGAGCTAAGGTTAATGCCCGAAAAGTACGTCAACCCCAGCACGTCAATGATAATGATGCCTACGACCACAACACTGATCAGAGCAACAAGCGGGTGTCCGATCAAGACGAGGCACACAATTGCCACAGCTAGGGATGCGAGACCTAGAGAAATTCCAATCTCGCCTGGGAGAGCAGCATATTGTTCAGAAAAGGTATCAAAGAAGATGTAAGGGAATGCGGCCGGTGCCTCGTCGACAGCGTTTCCGAAGCCAACCGAATCAGCAGCCTCACGCACACTCTCTAGTGACGAGATCTCATCGTCATTGGTGTCCAAGAAAATGTATTGTACCGAAAACTTGCAGCCCTCGACCTTTTCATCCTTTAAGAGAATGGAACTTGAATATCGAGAGTATAGGGGATCCTCTAGGAATCTTGCTACGCGGTCCGCAAATGTTTGCGGATCGACAACAGCATCATCTCCCTCAACACCATTCTCGTTCCGGAAAGCATTGTACCAGCAGTCAAGAGTATCTCCCTGAATCCACTCGTTCTTGGCGATTACCCCATCGCTCTTACAAAGCTCTAAGAGGCTTAGCTGGTTTTCTCTCGTGGACAAGTCTCTGTCTCGAACATAGATATTTGTCGGACTGCCAAGTTTGAAGTACTTGTCAATCTGATCTTGATACTCTCTCTGTGCCGACCCGCTGGGATAGAAGAACGCGAATTCGAATTTGAGATACAACTGCGATGCACCATAACTGCAGGCCGCAAGACCCGCGACAAACAGGACGAGCAAAACTATGCGAACAATGGGCCTTGTGATGAGCGGACCAAAGGTGTTTCCAAAGAAGCGGCTGAACCCTCCGGCAGGCTTTTTGAACCAATTGAGTTCCTTCACTTCCTGCACTGGCGGGAAACAAGGGCAGCAGTCTCGGCGCTTCGCATCCTGCCTGCGGAGGTCGAAAGTGACCAAGGCAGTGTAGAATGTGACAGCAAATCCCCAAGCCGCGAAGATACCCACCGCGGCCCACAACGAGAAGAATCGAAGCGCGGGTAATTTAGAAATAGCACTGAGCAAAAAGACGACGACGTTGGTAAAGGAAGTGACTGTGATGGCAGTGCCCGACTGGCTCAGCGCAAGAGCAATCTTCTGCTGCACGGACTTTCCGTGGTTGGACTCCTTCTGGTTGACCTCATCGACGGCACGGGTCACGTGGAAGCAGTCGTCGATACCAATACCGACGATAAGAAGCGGGAGAATCTGATGCACCGGGCCAAAGAACATGCCGAGGGCGGAGGAGATGCCGAAACACGCGCCCAGCGCAAGCCCGGTGGTGGCAATGGCGCCGAGGGCGAGAAGCATGTGCGAGCGGACAGCGTGAAAGTCGCCGAGGAATAAGACGATGTAGACGCCGAGGAGCACGAAGCCGATGGCCAGCATGGGCAAGTCACCTGTCAGGGCCTCTGCCAGCGAGTCGCCTTGCGACCAGAGCGATTCGACATACCAGTCGAGCACCCTCCCGTTCAGCAGCGGGGTGCCCTCCAGCAGCAGGACGGTCCAGTTCTCCTCGAGCTTCTCGGCCTCCTTGTCGATGAGTTCGCCTCCTTCGACGATTTGCTTGTTGTTCGCGAGCTGGGTGTACATCAAAATCCTAACGGCGCCATTCTCCTTGCCGATGATCTCGTCGGCGTTGAAGGGCGAGTCATCAAAATTGACTGGCGGTGGGTCGTCAAGCACGCGCTTAATCTCAGCGTCGGAGAGGGACTCAATCCTGACACGCACCGTGGCGAAAAAGTCAACGCGGCCGTTCTCCAGCTTGACAACATTGTCCACGTCATAGAACAGGTTGAAGACGGAGTTGGTGCGACAAATGACATTGCCGGCGGCATCCTTCGTCTCCAAGCAGCGCTCCTCATACGTGATGGGCGTGCCATCGGCGCCTTCCTCGTCGTTGATAGGGTCGGCAACGAGGTAGTAGCCGGCACTAGCGACGTCGAGCATCTGCAAAAAGGCGTCCCTGGTGGCGAGGCTGGCGCCGCCTTCCTTCTGGACGAAGGCGATGGTGGAAGCGCGCACGGTCTGTCCGTAGCGCTGCTCGACGTAGGCCTGGTTCTTGAGGGCAACGGTGCCCTGCGGGACCCAAAGCTCTGCGGCGCGCGACTCGGAGCGGAAGCGCAGCATGCCGGCGAGCGTGGCCGCGACGACCAGCAGCGAGAACAGGACGGTCTTGAACGGGTTGGCGGCAACCCAGTAGCCCAGGCGGAAGAAGAAAGCGCGCATGGCGCCGTCGATGGAAGCGCTCAGGCGGAAGAGCGCGCCGCGCCTGGGGGCCGCGGGCTCGAGCTCGAGCTCGGGCTCGGGCTTGGACGCGGTGGGCGGCTCGGGCGGAAGGTGCGGGGTCGCCATGGCCGAGGTGCAGCGGCGGGAGCGCTGCGGGCGCGGCAGGGAGGCGGCTGTTGGGGGGCGGTGGGGGGGGGCTACTGCGGGAGAAGGAGAATTGCGAGTGT